CTTATGTACTGTAATGGCCATTTCTCACATTTTTCTCGAAAATCCTCTACCTAGGTAAGTTTTGAAAAATAATCTTTTATTCTTTTCGTCCCAAAAAAAATTTCCTTCAGAAGTACCCATGGAAGGAAACCGTGACCACGTAGTCAGAGATGAATTTCCGTTCCCTAAAAAATTTCGGTTGTTTCTTCTCCATGGGCGACGATTTTAATACGTTCGTGTTACAACATAAATATAACGTTTATTTCTGACTCCGTTTACGGTTCCAATAAAATTTTTACTTTACGTGAATCCCCAATTAAGCCGATCGTGCTCAAAAAGAGAATCTATTAATATTCCATTAAAACCTAAATAAGAGCACGTGTCGTGGACACTCTGTAAAGCGTCTAAATATGTCACTCTTATCTCCCAAATATTATGGCGCTAATCTGTGCAATAGTAATTGGTTAGGTACTGTAGAAGTAAACGCACGTGGCACTGGCTTCCCTAAAAAAACGACTTTGTTTCTCAACACATTTTACCATCAATGAAAATGAGACATAATGAACTTGGGATCTAAAATAGATACCAGTATTTACAAATTAGGTATCGAATGACTAAGAACATTATAAACAAGTGAATCTGCGAATAAATGTCAAAATAGAAATATTTTTTTTCTTTGTCACCTAATTAGGTATATCATGATGGTTGTACGCAAAGATCGTCCAAATATTGATTTTTCAAGTTTAAACGTACTTCGCGTGGGTAACAGAAAGTTAAATGTATTCTATGCGAGATGTTCGTAGTGTGGCTATCCACGTGGTTCTCATGCACCTGTAAACCGGCCGGCGAGAGTAGGTGCGAGCAGCGTTGCACGGGATGTAGCGCTACTCTGGCGCCCCGCCGAGCTATAACCATCCCCCTATAGTATATACTTCGCTCGTTGCGTCGAGTCCATTCCCCGTTAGGACAGATTTTTTTTCTAACTTTAACTAAACTTACGCTCTATTTTGTACGTTAACGTCTCACACTGTTGAAAACCTAATACCGTTTTTAGGTAACGAGTCGATTCCTGAGGAATTTTCTTACGCAATATTTTCAAGTTGTAGGAACAAATTAAAGCAGATTCAACAATGAATTTTTTTTCTTGATGTGTACACTAAGGTGGCATATACGAAGTCTCAATCTCGTCCACTACGTACTAATTTTTTTTAAATATATAAAGAATTCTCTAATGACTACAGCAACATACGTAATTGTTAACTGTGAGGTGTCGAAATCGGATTTGAAACGGTACCTAGTCACGTGCCCATAATTAACTACAAACTACTCAAGTCGCGTTTTGGGAACTTTTTTCAGATGCACACTTACTTGTCAATTTTACACATAAAATTCAAATTCCGAAAAAAACAACAAAAATTTGAGGTTGTGACTCATGCACAAAATTGTTTATACCAATCTCAGAAATATTGGTACCACTTACAACACATTTTTTTTCGTATTACCAAAATTCATTGTAGTTCAGTACAAATTTGCAAACGCGTACACAAAAACAAAAAAATTGCATAGTCGTTATACATATTCGATCAAACCAAGGAAATTAAAAAAATACAAAAATTTGAAAGACCGAAAAATAAAAAAACATTCGCGATGTCCAACTATACCTCCGCCACGACCACAGAAAATAGCTAAAAATTAAAATTCAAAATTTCCACAAATTTACCCTCAAAAATCCATAAAAACGATCCAAAATTGATGTTCCACCTTCCACGTAAACCATCACTATACACTTATACAAAATGTAACTATGTCAATAAATATACATTGTAGAACATGGTAGTAGTCGGTAGGAGCCGAGGTAAGAGCCTAATTTTTGAGTCTGGTGGCTACGTACTCCAAACATTTTCCGTTTCTTTTTTTATTCTTTCCTTTGGCAATAGTTTCTAGGTAGCTAGGTGTTATCCGACAAAACTATTACAGTACTATTATACAGTGTGTCCAACATAAGGATGTCATGGGGATCTCCGAAACCATAGAAGATAGGAAAATGGTTAAGATGCTGTAAAGAAAACCCGAAAATTCCGATTACGATATGCAAAAAAAAACGAAACTTGCCGATTTCGATTTTATTTTGATGTTAGAAAAAATAAAAAACACTTTCTCATGGCCACTTTTTGAGCTCTACAAGACAGCGTTGAGAAATTTTCAATCCACCGTTTCGTTTCGAAAAAATCATCATTAACTTTACTTTTGATATAGCCCGTAAAAAGAAACACCTGCTGTATTGGGTAGCAATTTTATATTACGAATACAACGACGTACGGCACGGGAAAACCAAAAGTTGGAAACAGTTGGTTTCAACAGGATGGTGCCCTAATCGTGCGAAAATACCTATCGTACAAATTTCCTAGAAAATGGAAAATATATCCGATAGGTATTCTCGATTCTCGATACACGATTAGGACGCCCCTATCCTGTTGAAACCAACAGTTTCCCACTTTCGTTATTTTTCCCGTGCCGTACATCGTTGTATAATTGTATTAGTAATTTAAAAAATGCTATTCGATACGATATGTACTTTTTGTACGGGCCATATAAACAAATAAAGTTGATGATGATGTCTCCGAAACGAAACCTATTGAAAATCTCTCTCTGTCAAATAGTGGTACTGAAATAGTTATTTATATAACAAGAGCGCGAAGTTCAATTTCGCGCATTGAGACTGAAGGTATTTTGACGAGGCGAAGCCGAGTTAAAATATCAGTCAAATGCGCGAAATAACTTCGCGCTAGCGTTATATACAATATTTTTTCTACAACTGAACCGATTGTTAATTAAATTTGCTGTTTAAGTTCAACTTTGTCACGTGCGCGAAATACTTTTTTTCACTGTTGACGATTTCGCGCACGTTGTCAATAGCAACCTTACTTATTAATTAACCGTTTAAAAATCTAGTACTTCGCGTTTCGAAATCCGTCAGAAAATGACAGGTTTTTTTGACAGTTGTAGAAAAAAGTGTTTTTTTTGTATCTGTTCAAATAACATCAGGAAAAAATTCATAGATTTGGCAATTCATTTAACCATCGGAGACATTGGAAATGACCAGAGAAATGATAACCGTATAACGTCATATGTAAAACTTTTATTCACTTGAATCACTCGCAAATTCCCTCGTGTCGCAAACGTCAATCTTCTGAATAATAAACGTCACAACGTGCTCGTAATACTATCGAAGGAGATTTGCGAGAATTTTAGATTGGAATTAACAAAAGAATTGAGCACTATTAAGTAAGTACCGTATCGACAGTATTCGCAACTTTTCCTTAACTTTTCGATCGCGGCAGAGTACGGTACAATCGTCACTTGATGAGACACCGTTGTCTTTTGGCCTTGAACGAAACTCGTAACTTTGTACACATATGCGAAAACATAAACATTTCCAATGTTCGGAAGCAATCGGAATTTTCTGGTTTTCTTTGCAGCATGATAATAACTCGCAACTTGCGCGACTTTTTCCTAATGTGACTACCTTCATCTTCTATGGTTTCAGAGATTTCCATGACAAAACATCCTTATCTTGGCCACAGTGTATGTATTGAAAAGCTTTAAAAAAATGAAATCGATATAAAACATAAAAAATATACGTTATTTTTATCTTAACGTTGATAAAAAATCTACATACACCCATGAAAAACACGTAAAAAATCTATTAATCCATTTTTACATTTTTAAATAAATTTAATATAGTCGAGATCCTTTTGATCGAGCCATACAAGAATCTCATTTCTGCATCAATCGGATGCACAATATTTTAAACGTAAGCCTGTTGAGGGCCTAGAACAAGAGGGACAATAAATAAATAAATAAATAAATAGATATAAAAAAATTGCAATTTTTGAAACAAAAAAGGACTATACTTAAACTCGTACTTAAATGTGCATTTAAAGGTGGGTATGTCAGTATGTGTGGATCGTTTACCGATAACATAAAAATATAAAAAAAATAAAAAAATATTTTAAAAAATAGAAATTTATATTTATTTTGAGTAATAATCTGATGATCTTTCTTTTTCGCAAAGTGAGCACCTACGAGATTTTTTTATTTTAAAAATTTCGATTCTTGCAAATGCACATTAACGAGATTCATTGCTGATATCTGATACAAGATGAGTAATTTTTTTATTTTTATTTTTAAATTAATTTTTAACACATTAGGAAAGTACTAGTTTCAAGAATCGCACATATGCATTAAATTTTTTCTTAAAAAGAATTTTTTATTCATAAAATAAAATATGAATGTCTTTAAAAAAAATAGTAGGTCTTTGTTGATTGTCTCTTAAAATTATCGATAGCGCGATTCCAGTAAAACACTATTGATAAAATTTAATATCCCCTACGTTAGCACAGTCACATACAATATAAAATAACGAATGACTTATTTATCCAGGATGCCTCGGCTAACATTTTCACCATCGAAAAAATTCATAGAAATTCACAAAAAATGCTCGAAATTTGCAGAGGCACTAAACGTTAGATCTGATTAGAGAATGAAATAAACTTTCAACTCGACTTTCAAACTCGCTTTCAAATAATCAGATATTTTTTTAAGGGGATGTTTCCAGCAATTTTTCCAGAGGTTTAGTAGTGGGGTGCAAATTTTACATGTAGTATGAAATTTAAAAAAAATAAATCCGAATTAAATAAAACTTTTTCAAAAATCAGGATTTTTATCAACACTGCTTTTAGGTACAAACCGAGGTAGAAACAGATGTTTTCCATTTTACAAACACCATTCATTAACATTGAATTAAAATAGTTTTTATAATACAATTTGTGAAGATTGAAAAACTCCATTACTTACCTACTTTTAAATCATAGGTATAGTTTATACTAACATTAAGCAAATACCTAATCGATTTAATAACGTTGTTTTTGGTAGTTTTTATCGTGTAGCAATTTCCTAAATTTTCCATTCAAAAAACTGAACGCAATCAGAATTGTTAAGATTTTTACCCGAAGAATAGGCCGAATTGGGAATACCTACCTACCAAATACCTAATTTGGGTGACCACAATGATAACAGCATAACGTTCCCTAGGAAAACTAACGAAACGTAAGTTTATTTGTTTTTATAGAAACGTGATAATCTGCCGGTAGCAAATCTTATCACATGCTGCGATTTGCGGTACTTTGTTTATTTCCCGCAAAAAATCGATAGAGGTGTGACAAAAATTAGGTCCGGTTGTATCTATGCGTGGGATTTACGCGAGGTATTTAAATAAGTAAAAAATGGCGAGTAGATATTTGCAAACGAGAAAAAATAAAGATGGGACTTGACGCGACGACTATCGTATACACTTATTGAGCTAGCAGCGTTGTACCTCCTGAACGGCCCACACCAACCCCCGACTAGGGTAGAGGGTGGAGGGAGCCGTACAGGCGCCGACAAAAATATTTACATATCCTACTAATATTAAACTCTCTTATTTTATTGATTAATTAGCGATAATCCAAGTGGCAATTAAAAAAATTACAAAAATTATTGTACAAAAAAGTATCTTGGACGTAACGGTGCGCAACGTAAATACAGGGTGTACGCGTGATGTTAAAAGTTAGACGTTGAGTTTGCGATTATTTTGAGCTAGACTGGCAGAAACAGAGACATGCTGAAATATTATAAATACGTAAACTCACCCTGGATCCAGCCTGTCGACGGGAGATGGGCCGGTCATTTGTCCAGGCATCATACCATGACCAGGACCCATTGGCCCAGACATAGGATGACCCGGTCCTGGACCGAAAGGCGATCCCGGTGGCATTCCGAATCCGGGCGCTCCAAAAGGTTGCCCTGGTGATGCGAAATGGGGGTTACCACCGGGTCCCGGCCCTGGACCACCAACGAACGGTGGTCCAGATGATCCTGGTCTTCCAAAGGGTGGACCCCCGGCCGACGGCGAACCGAAGGGTCCCGGTCCAGGTCCGTTATAAGGTGGTCCGCCGCTGTTTGGAGGTGGTGGAAACCCTGCATTGCCTACGGACTGCGGCGGTCCGGGTCCGGGGGTTGAGGAACCCGACGGTGCCGGTGACGCGGTATATTGTGGAGTCGTCGAACCTGGTGGTGGGCCTTGGTACGGCGGTGCGCCCGCTGGAGAACCTGCCCCCGCCGGCGGGCCTTGAAACGGTGATGGCCCCTGGAAGCCCGCCGGCGGCCCGGAAAATGAATTGGAGTTTGGGGCAAAGTTTTGGGGTTCTGAGCCGGGCGGCGGTCCCTTCCAGGTAGTGGCGGGGTCCTCCAGGGCGACAGGCAGCGTGATGGGGGGCGCTACGCGGCGGCTAAGGCCTACAACAAACGAATTCCGTAACATAGAACCGCTGCCAGATAGACGTTCGAACGAATTTTACAACGTGAGGTTAAGTACGTGCTGTTTCTAACCTCTACAGCCACGTAATTAAGTCAATATTCTAGTAAATAATACACAAATTCATAGAGAAAAATTGTTTACATTTTGTTTTACGTTGTGCCACTCGCCCCTGTCTCATTCTTCGAGCTTTTTCGAGTCAAATTTAAGAATAATCCGCACTCTACTTTTACGAACTGATGTATAGCTGTTGTAACTTTGTTGGTTTCGCACTAAACTTATATCGAACACGCATTCTTCCACAAACGAAGTCACTCGTGTATATCGCGGCATTTTAAAATTACGTCGAATTTTTCTATAACAATTTCTCGCTTCTCGTAAATTCGTAAATCACAAAATCTAAATACAACATCTCAAGAAACACCTCAAGTAAACACTGTTAAACTCGAACCAGGGCGCATGTTTACGCTACCGCCATTTTTGTTACTACGTAAGATAGGCACCGGCATTACCGACTCTTTTTTAAAAGACACCGCGAAGCAACCGGAATTTTGAATTCGAACAACAAATCAGAAAATTTGAACGAAACGACGAACGTGATTTAATTTGTGTAATGTGTGAGCTTACTGCTGAAATTGAAAAATGTTAGCGCGAGCGTTACGATAATCTTTCACTTTTTTTACAGTAATTTGTCACGTGAAAAGTTTTGCGGTGAATTACTGCCAAAACCTTTTCATTTGGGTTTATGAAAAGTCAGAAACGCCCACCTCCATCCACGACGTCGCGTTATCCCTTTCTTATCAGGTTGTTACGAAAATGGGGTCAACTTTCTTTTTTCTTCGGCCTTCTGCAGAAATTATCTTGGGAGAATCCACGAAGTGCTGCCATTTTTAACGCCGCACGACGCAGTCATACCGAGTTGCAGCTGGGACATGCACTTCCATTGCCAACATCGCTTCCGTGAAACGAAGATACATCCTCGCCGCCGGTTTGAATTCAAACACTCGTAAAAATCACTCATAGCAAACGATCAAACTTGTGCACTAAGTCTCGAATAATATTATGAGAATAATTATCGATTAAATTTTTTTCAGCGGTATGATACGTAAGTAAACTTTTTTTTGTTGCACATCTTCTTTCAAGAACCAAGTCAACGGCGGTTGACAGTGTCACCCTAAAAATCAATAAGTTCACCGCCCCTTTATCCCTTCCCCACCCTCTGTTCATTCAGCAACATCACTATTATCATTACTACACATCGCGTCAAAATATCGCACGGGTCGAACTGTTCGCAATTTTTTTCCTTACGTTTTAGGGGACAAATCTCTCCTATATCTCATATATTCAAAAGGTTACTGTAGAGAATCGTATTGCCACGTTTGAAGTGAATTTAATAAGTGGAGCAACTTCTACACCGGTAGCTGCTAATCGGAATAAGTATGAACTGCCGCGCGCTTATAGCGTGACTTTACACTGTTGGTCGCTTGATGGCATAAAAAAGCATAGAGTAGAAAAGTGCGAGCGACCGCACACGGGCTGATTGAACAATAGAGGGGATGTTTGGAGCTGGTGACAATTTGACATCAATGCTCATTACCATGCACGCTACAGTCCCTTTTGTACATCACAACCCAACTAATTACTTACTCGAAGTCGATATAGTAAACTGGCACCGTTATTCGGCAATTTAAAATCTTGCAGTCTAATTGAGAAATTTAAGCCTCGCTCTTTGCTAGAAGATTCTGTATAATTTTATGTTTTTATTTAAAAAAAAAAGCCTTCCTGACGTGAATATGTGACCAAAGCATGTCAGGTTAGAGAACCCTCCTTGGATATATATCATTCAAGGTTTACTACAATGAGACCGGGAGGCCTTGAGACGAACTGAATTTATTGTGTATGCCATGTTTATCAGAGAGCGGACAAGTTTCACTTCCCGATTTTTTTCTACCAACAATGAATAGAAGAATTTTCAAATAAGTAACCGTCTTTGCCACTTGTTTACAAGCACAATTCTCAAACGAAATAATTCTGTTTACCTAACTTACAGGTGTAAAATATTTTTCTGAGTAATTTGTAGGTATAACAAATATTATTTCATATTTCTTTTATTTGATATTTAGGAACAGTTATTAAAGTGCATAAATTAGTTTCATAAGATAAGTAAGATTATTCTATCATAATACCTGCATATCTTTTTAATTGATGATCTTTTGCGTGAACGTTGCTTTGTGCTACGGCGCCGACCAGTCTCCTTGATCGTAAGCTACTGAGACCCACAGTATTCGTCTTGTCCACAGTATTTGTTTTTCAAAAAACGGCTCCGTAGGAAATGGTACTACCTATAAGCTACCTACAACACAAAAATTCGCTTGTTTCTTTAATCTTGTAGTCGTAATAATTACAGTAGTCAGTAGACTCGCGTTTATGTGAACATTCGCATATATGAACATTCAGTCAAAACATTCCTATTGATTACTCTGTAGTATACTCTCAGAGTAATGTGAACAGTTATTATTGCAGGTTCAGACTTGCTTGCAATGCAACTGTTTATTAGCCATTTTTGTAGCAAGTGCAGAGGCACATACTGTACTATGCGATCAAGAATGAGTTGCTGTAGAGTCGCCAGTCACCTTTGGAATTTTTGTTTGCATGGGAAATCGTACCAAAGGCGTCGCGACCGCCACTCATTTTTGATCGCTCGTTATATTATAAAAATAAATATTTTACATGCCTTTGGTAGTGTGAGCAATCTTGAAAACATGAACTATGGAATTTTTTGAATTCCTATTAACGAGAGCCTACGGTATAATTTAATTTTCCTCTGCAGTCAATGCATATTTCTGCATACGCGAAAACCAATCTGAAAAACATTCTCTCCAACCTTGCCGCGTTAGGTTCTGTACTAACGAGCGACGAAAAGGATTTTGGACTTTCTGACCGTCCGTCCGTTCGTCCATCCGTCCGTCCGTCTGTGGACACGATAACCCGCTAACGATTTCAAATTTTCCAATTCTCCTTTCAGCAATAGGTAGACAATGGTCAAGGGTCAAGGAACTACTTAATTAAATTTTGGTCAATATTCGTCAATCGGAAGTGACTTTGTCGCTCGATTGTCTATATTGGTGCAGTTTATTTTAATTTTAAAATTAGCAAAGATTGCACGCTATGCGAAGTGCGAACAGTGGCAGGGATAGAGTAACCGACTAACCGTTGAGAGAAGGAAAGGAATTATTTACTCAATGGTGAATGGAGTAACTGAAATTCTGTGTAAAAAGGTTCAGAAAGAAAGCTCAAAAGAGTTTGAATTCAGGTAAGCCGTTTTTTTAAACTCGGCCTTAAACTTAACTTAACACAAAGTAACTGTCTTTTACAGTTATTTTCACTTACAAATTCACTGAGTGCCCTGAAAAAATTGATTAAAGTTTGTTGTTTGTTGAATTGAATTGAATAGTAATGGGAATGGTGCCATATAGCTAAAGCAACCCTCAATTTTTTAGCGCATTTTTTAAAAGTTAAAAAAAATGTGCTATTGTTTGCGTTTTGTCCGTCCGGACCCATTTCTGCCGTTTGAACTACTTCTAGGGGAATGGTTCTAGAGTCCTGGAATTTGTTGCATTAGGTAAGCCTATACCTTGAAGGTGTGCCAGACGGCCATCAAATTTCGCTGTCAAAAAGGGCCCCCCACCCCCACGAATTATTTCCGGAGATGCTGTTTTTGGAAGTAAAACGTGCATAACTTTTACATATGACAACCAATTGGTCTCACATTTTGCATACGCATGCCTTTAGTGGGGGGGGGGGCACATTTTCTACCCTTCATTGTATTCTAATGAAAAGTCTCATCGAAATAAATTGGTTTGTGCAAACTATAACTTTACCGTGCGACTCTTTTTCGAGATTATAATTTTATCTCTCATTGTATTGTATTCTAATTAAAGGTCTCAACGAAAGGAACCGTTTTTTACCTACTACTGCCCTTGTTTCTGTCTTCTTATCAAAGTACGGGGGAGAAGGAGGGGGGTAGTGGAATTAGTTTTTCCTTCATGGTACTCTAATGAAAGGTCTCAACGAAAGGAATTAATTTCTACCAACCACAGCCCTCCTCCTCGACCTCTTATCGTGATCGGGTATATTCCCTTAGGTATACCTCAAGAACGGATTGTCGGAGGAGGGTACTCACAAAGGGCGATTGAGACGTCTGCAAGAAATATATCCATTGGTGATGTCAAAACAAAAGCTATTTCGGTAAACAAAATGCGCTTTATCTGCACAAGAGTTGTGCACAATTTATAGGTACTTGTTTTGTTTTGTGTTGCGGTGTACCCGTAAGTTTAATTAGGCTATGAATAGCAAAAGTTTTAAAGTTTAAATAAATATCAGATACGGTGGTATTCTAGATTGTAGCAATTTGCATTAAAATACAACATATAAATAATTCCATCGACAACTAATTTCAAATTCTTAATAAGCTTGATAGTTTTCGTTCAACGTAAATTTTAAATGATAAATTGACTATTGATTTGTACGATGTTCTTCCCATATTCATTAAAACTTAAACCGCTGTCTAGAATAAGTTCTAAATTTTTAACTGACCTAAACCAAGATATGTTGTCATTCATGCCAGATAACTGAAACTGCACACAACGTCACAACATGAGACTTGGGTTTCGGACCAACACAAACCGCTGTAGATTTTGAAGGGTTAAGTTTCAAACCATTGTTCTCACACCATTTTTGTCCACTAATTAGAGTTAATGTTGTCTAATCAGTGGACAAAAATGACATCTTTATGCGGACGACTTACAGTTTTATATAAACTATAAAGCACAGCGTAGCAAACATCATAAGATACTGTTGAGTTAATGTTGATGTCAGTATCTTATGATGTTTGCTACGCTGTGCTTTATGTAAAACTGTAAGTGGTCCGCATAAAGATGTTATTGCAAGTGAAGGATACATGCAGATTTCAAAAGTCAAAAGTGAAAACCAAGAAGAGTAGAGGACCCAGTACGCTCCCCTGAGGAACACCACTTTCAAGATTTATACTTTCAGATGTCACCCCCGACAATCTTTGTCTTTGAGATCTGTTAGTTAGATGAGCTCTGAACCAATTCAAGCTATCGTTATCGCAACATACGTACTTTAATTTAGCAACTAGCAGGCGACATGATTAACTAAATCAAATGCTTTATGCATTATGTGAGGAGAGCAGTAGTAGGTAGTACCTACTATATTTGTTTCTTTAAGCTGATTGATAGGTACTGGAATAATATTGGGGATCTTCCAAATATTCGGAACAGTTCTATTACGCAAAGAATCATTCAATAACTGACGTACCTACTGTATCCACGCAATGCAGCATGAGTAATATTAAGTGTGTAAGAGCGTCTTACGAATGGTACCTACACCCACCTTACAGTTTATCATCCCTATACCTTGGGATAGGGAAGGAGGGTAGGAATATAGGATCGTGATCTTCGTTTATTCAGTGATCGAGTTTGTTTGTACCCACTGTGACCAGACGTGATTGACGTTTGTGAAAGAGCGCACGCAGAGGGCTGAAGGGTCTTGGACAGGTGGTGCAGTATAGCCATGACTTTTTCGTAAACCCGGAAAAGACCGAGGTATTGTTTCATTTATGAATAGAAAGAGAGCGGACCATGATGGACTTACTCTTCGAGGACGTCAACTGGTTCTGAGGACTCGGTGCGTACTGTACCGTGCATATGTATGGTGATCTGCCATACTCAGGGCAACCTACAGGAAGTAGTTAGGTAAGGTACAGAGACTCGCCTGTTTGCGAGTTACTGCATGAACCCATGAAAACCACACCAACTTTGGCCATTGATGCACTTCTGGTACTAGAGGCTTTACACTTACACAGCTGTGGAGGTAAAGGCTTTGAAGGCTTCCATACGGCTAAACCATTGGGACGAGGGGAAGGATCGAGGCAGCATTGGGTACGGGCGGATCTGGAAGGATACCTTCAGGTCCGATCGGACCCTCGCAAAAAGGGATGTGATCCGGCCGGGCTGTCTTACTAAGACCCAAGGGTTATAAAGTCACTTTCCCGGATAGGGAGCAGTGGCTGAACCCCGTTGCCCGTTCCTCAAACCTGAGGGGCTCGTGCGGTTTGTAGACGGGCCCCTAACGGGCACGGGGTGATTTCAAACACTTCAACATCCGAGCCGCCTCGACGCGTATTGCTCGAGCAAAATTCCCGTGTACCTTCCCCGCAATGCTACGTGTCACTATCCTCAAGGGGCAGAAGAAACTACAAGGAGACTGACAAAGTGGGTCCGTCATACGAGCCAAATATATGCCTTAAAAGTTAAACGGAGAATCTCTACTACTCGAGCAGGTGTAACATCCTGATGATGGATGGAGTGAAAGATGAAAGACTGGATAGTCTGAAAAAGGTACGTGCGCACTCTATATCTATTTTGTTAGCAAACCTCAGATTCGGTTTCAGCACCCCAAAAAATATATGGAATCAAAGAAATCAAAACTACCCCTGGTAAAAATACAATTTAACTGGATTAATTACAACCTACATCGGGTTGATAACCGCCACTAGCAAAAAATTTCAGGGCTGCTAGCACCTAAATTAATGATTTCATTTCATGGTAGGTATACACCAAGCCCACCGTAATATTACGGAAACGCATTCGAATACCAAATTACGCCAGCTATCGCTCGCAAAAAAGCGAACGACATTTTAAGAGCGCGCAAAGAAACGTGCTGTCAAAACTTGAAACAAAAAGTACTATTCGTATTGCTCCTACGTTTCCTATTTGCGAGTTCTCAAAAATTGACCCCCAGGTGTATTTCTCACTATTTTATCAAAAATTCGGCAATAAATCCACGACTAGTACAAGACAAAAAGCAGATTCAAACGTCGAAATCAATATCAGTTTATGACAACTGGCATTAATTTTTTTGTAAATGCGGTTCACTGAGGACAAAGTAGCTATTTATAATAAACAACGTTTACTGCGGAAATATTTACTCTAGTACGCGATACTTATTTGATTCCCGTGTATTTTAATTAGCGTCCCATTCCGTCTGTGTGAAAACCTATTTCAATTTTTTAGGAAATTTCCATTTGCTAATTGGATTTATTGCCGAATTTTTGATAAAATAATGAGAAATACACCTGAAAATAAACTAAGTAATTCGTGAATCATTACATGAGAAAAAAAATCTTTTGATTGGTGTCATTATAAACCCTTTAAGTTAACATGGGGAGCAACGATCTGCAAAAAACGTTTTTCCATGTTAATTGCCTATATTCGGCTTTAAAATATTCACTCGGTATAGAAAAAGGATAGGGTATTTTTGTACCCCGCTTGAACGTACCTTTTCCATTTTGGTATTAGAGTGGTTAAGGCCGCTTGACATGGAGCAATACAACGCGCAAGAACTTGCAGAAAGAAATTGCAAGGTCAAATCCTTGCATGCAATAAGCATTGCATGGTATTTGACATGGTGCAATTCTATTTATTTCAATTGCCACATGTCTGCCAACAGAAGAAAAATATGGACTTGTCAACAAAGTTGCTAACCTCCAATAAAAATTAAATTTTGATTGCTTGAAGAAACATGAAAATTACAAGAATAAATACGATCAATAAAAACAAGTCTCTCAGCATCATAGTTGCTGCCGCTGTATTTTACTAGGTTGGTGACACAAAAACAACTAGATTTATCCCTAGAATTGCACGATTCATGCAAGAAAAATAGCACCGGTTTATAAAAATTGCATGCAAGTCTCTTGCAGCAATTGATCTGCTGGCTTTGAACTGCGCATGCCTTTCGCAATTTTTCTTGCAACTTGCATGCAATTGCAATTTTTATTTATTAAAGCCCGCTTGACATGGAGCAATAAAAATTGCAATTGCATGCAAGTTGCAAGAAAAATTGCGAAAGGCATGCGCAGTTCAAAGCCAGCTGATCAATTGCTGCAAGAGACTTGCATGCAATTTTTATAGGACCGGTGCTATTTTTCTTGCATGAATCGTGCAATTCTAGGGATAAATCTAGTTGTTTTTGTGTCACCAACCTAGTAAAATACAGCGGCGGCAACTATGATGCTGAGAGACGCACTCATTACTTGTTTTTATTAATCTTATTTATTCTTGTAATTTTCACGTTTCTTCAAGCAATCAAAATTTAATTTTCATTTGAGGTTAACTACTTTGTTGACAAATCCATATGTTTCTTCTGTTGGCAGACATGTGGCAATTGAAATAGAATTGCACCATGTCAAATACCATGCAATGCTTATTGCATGCAAGGATTTGACCTTGCAATTTCTTTCTGCAAGTTCTTGCGCGTTGTATTGCTCCATGTCATAACAAAAACAATTCTCGTTTGCCGAGTGTAAGGTTGGTTGCTTACAGCCATTCCATGCATTGACATGTTTTTGGTGTTACATGACCGCTCACGCATGTGAAAAAAATTGGAGATAGAGGGGATCAAGAAAACAAGCACTTTTTCCAAATAAACCGAGGGTCCAACGTGTTTCATTTGGGAACCACCCCACTCCCAAAGAAGTGATGAAATTTCGATTTCTTCTTTAATTTTTTTCTCAGCAAGAGTTACAAGGATGGGCGGCGCGTCTTTGGAGTTACAAGGATGGGCGGCGCGTCTTTGAATAGGTTTTCGGGTATGCCCTATCCGATTTTGAATTTTTTTTTCAAAATTCCTACCACGAAAGGGCGTATCTCTACTTGGGGATGCGAAAAAAAAGTCCACGAAATTTGTTCTGTAAGTACATACTTGATGAGTTAAGGAACAAAATTGTCAAAGAGTTTTTTAAAATCACATTTCAAACAAAAGTTATACTGATTTGAAAATAGGGCTTTCAGGTTACAAAGTGTCCCCTGCCTACTGGTGAGTGGTCTAATTTCGAATGTAGTTGTCGCAAATAACAAAAAAATAACGATTTGTCGATATTATGATTAAATGATCACAAAAAATTCTCTATGTCGATCTTGGTATTCAAGTCTGCAAATTCTGCTCCTGAGGTTACATATCGTAGTAACACTAACACCTAATATTAATATTATCAAAAAAAGGGTAATCGTGTTACATTCCTCCGACATTTCTGACTACAGCCACGCTGGAGGCGGGCTGCTCAGGCTTGCCAGAGAACGGGAATGTAAGATTGTAAGGATAGGAACGGAGTTAGGGTGCTGAGGGGGAAGAGTACTGCTCCAGTATTCGCCTGTATGTCTGAGGAACAAGAGAATAGAGCGCAATCAAACACGGAGAGATTGCTGATAGGATGTCAACTATTCGCTTAGTTTCTGAGCCCAAAATGTTTGTGGCCTTTGTTTTTCAGCAAATGTACCTTCCACATATTTTAGAGTTCCCAAACACTTTAGAAAATAATTTTCTTTGGCAGTCGCAGGATACATTACTGAGACTGTGGTTCGCGTGGAACACTTCAGCCACATCAAGTCTTTTTGTTCATGATCACCCTTATCCTGCGTAAAAAATGACTTTTACTACCTGAAGCTTTAGAAATGTTTCTCTGTTTTCATGGTTTGTTTCGTCATTTTCGGCACCATGACTGATAGAAAACTCACTAAGACACAAGGTACACTTTCCATAATTTTTACTTTACGTTCCAAGAGCCATTCATAAGTTTTTCTCCATTGCACATTAAACTAAACGTCATGTTTCTTTTAAATTTAATTCTGTGCAAAGAAAGCACCTACATACTTCAGAAGAGTCCGATTCATATTCGTACAAGTTATCTGCGTTGTGATCACGTTTTCTTTGATTTGCCATAATTGTGTAACAAATTATGGATAGCTGACAGAATCCGGCCCTATTTACCTGCCACACCTATAACTTGGAAGAAAGGGGACTGATACTATCCTATCAAGAGCAATGCTGCACTAACCTTAAATAAAACACCTTGTTTTATTTATGCAAACTAACTTTGCTTCACTTTACGATCATTATTATCACTCCTCTTCCTCTTTCCTTCTCCAAGTTTGTTTAATATCTAACTGCCATGGCATCATAGATTATCAAAAAAGCCCCAATTTTTTTGGTTTTAAAATTCAAAAAATTAAAAGCTATAGTAAAGCTGCACTCTTAATTTTTTTCTCTACAAAAAGCCTAGATGAACTTTATCTCTAAACCATAGAGGAAACACAATTCTTTAAACTAATTAGAGAAGACAATCAAACTTGGACTACAATTTGTCAACTTCACAGAGTTCAACTATGACTCGTCACTCGATGGTCCCTTGTTCAAGTATGCGTACCATAATTCAAATCATGTTGTCTAAATAAAAAAAACCAAAATATTTCAAAAATTATGTTCTCAGGAAAACTTACATGCAAAAATATTTTGTGTTTAATGTTAGAAATTACTACATTTACATGATGATTTATGTACTTTTTAAATGATGCAAACATTAAAATATACGAAAAAATGAGAATGATCCATAAAAATAAATGGGTGTTGAAATATTTCCTTAATCCTTAATCTCTAGTACAATAAAAAAAACAAACAGGAATTATGTCCACGTAAATTCATTGTAAAAAACAGAGTAGCTTAAGATAATAGGTAATAGCTGTGCTAACATTTCGCTAATCTTGATTGAATTCCTCTTAAGATGCTAATTAATTCATCTGTGTTAGGTTTACTATATAAGCTGGATAATAACTTTGCTACAGTATCTTCACAAGGTGCCTTAATCCGGGACCTGTGAAGGACAATATCACATTTTTGTTAAAGATAAAAAGACAATACCTCGTAGAATGATCGTACGAATTTTTGTTGGATAGAAAAACATCAACTAGTTCAGCAAAAGATTGGGCCAAGTAAAATTCATTTTCTTCTAATGACCAAAAACGATCACCACCTGTTGCACCAACAAGACTGAAAAAAAAAGTACTATCTACTGTGGTAAATCACAAAATAATAATATACTCATTAAAACACTGAACCATTGTTTCCATAGGCACTTCGGATGACATCAGTCTTGGTACTATGGCAGGGTCGGCTTTTTGTCTAACGCTTAATGCTTCTAATTTTTCTATGATATAATCTGTAAGAACGGCATGACTAATGTAGCAAGATTAAATAACTACTTACTAAGAGGAATTGTACTTGTTGAGGTATTGTAACGACGTATTAAACCTAAAACATTATTTAAAACTACTGTGACTTTATCGTCGCCCGATCCAGGCACCATTTTATATTCATCAATAAGATGTTGCCACACATTTTCTATTACTGAACTATCGGAGTATCCAGCACAATCGATAATTGATAATTTACATTCCCATAAGTTAAAAGGATCACAGAATTCCTCGTACAGCTGTAAATATTTTTTATATATCACATTAGATCCTTAACTTTAGTTCACCTCGGTGAGATCAAATAGGTGATTGTTAAGCGCATTTATTGCTTCTTCCGCTGTACTGCTTCCACTTTGAAGACTGAAGATGGCATTTAAAACTTGCTCTTGAACTTTCGCTATTAATAATTTATCTTCTAGGTCCCTCAGCATAATTCCGAGATGAGGTGCGTATCCTATTTTGTCGCTTCTCATGCACATTACTCCTCTGGATAGGTGTTCCACGCGCTGTTTTAATGTTAACGAGTTGCTGAAATGAAAATTTCGTTTGATTTTATGGTAATTTCGCAAGTATGAATACGAAAGTTTTGTAAACGTGGGCGTAATCATTGTGGACCCCAGATTAAGAGATTGTAACTGTGTAACTGCTCAGTGCTGGACTGTAGCCAATTTTGGTCTAGTCTTAAGGTACCTTTACACTATAATATTCCTCACATGATTTTTTATATGATATGTTATATGATTTTTACACGAACATATTTTTCGTATGAGTTTTAATGTTTTACTTTACACAGGTTTTTCATATGACTTTTACTACAAGAAGTTACAAAACCTATAACTTCTCTGAATTAAAATTAAAAATGGAAAATATACAATACTAAATCTCCATCTTATAATATTGTTTTGAATCGAAGACAATTGCAGAAAAGAAAAATAATCAAGAAAATGATTAGAGGCGATATGAAGGGCTTGGAAGAACTACAATGCTATTTAAACAATTGGAGATCCCGCTAGCTTTAAAAATTTGACACGAATGAGTGTGACCTTATTTGAAAGATTACCCCAAAATTTTGAAGGGTTAATTACCAAGCAAGATACTATTTGACAATGTGTGTCTGAAAACACCACTACAACCAGACAACCATATACCAATATACAGTGAATTTTTTTTTAATGCGAACATAGGAGTTTGCATGTAATGTAATTTCCCTATGTTCGATTTAAAAAAAAACACATCAATCTATTGAGTAGTTCAAATGAGTAGTATACAATTGACAGCTCTCACATTTTCAAAAATACCGCCGTCCAATTTAATTACGAAATCGGTTAAGTTATTGCTTAGAATGTCAAGGAGGACACTTCGAACATTTATTGTAATTGTTTTCAGTATTTATTTTCTTAATTTATGTATTGAATAGATCAAATTAGTAGAATACCAGGTGCACATGACCTACAAATAATTGAAGGTTGGTTCACAATGAGTTGTGGTGTCAGTGCGTGGCCTGTGAGGTCAAGTTATCGTAAGTTTAAGAAAAATTGATCCTAAAGTTGCTATGGCCTCACATGGCTTCTTTAAAAAAATCTTACCGAGTGCTCTTCATCATAAAGTCTATAGAGTTGCTGTTCAAAGTCACACAAGTTGCGCGATTTGGGACTGTGAACCGCGCACACCGCATAGATTGATGTGTTTGTTTAAAAATCGAACATAGGGAAATTACATTGCATGCCAACTCCTATGTTCGCATTTAAAAAAAAACTCACTGTAAATATTTATTGTTTATGTAATTTATTATAATCATTGATTATACACACCTATAAATAATGAATGATATAATCAATGGTTTACTCAAGTATTCAGCTTTTACACATGAGGTACAACAGCAAAATGTGAAAAGTAACCATAAAAGTGAGGCAGGTTCGTCTACTCCTAGTGATGATATTAAATCATAGAACGATTCTATTTAAATTGTAAAGATGCCGTTGAACGGAATTCTTGTAGTATAAGTTTTTTCTTGAAAACATTATTTGGTACAGTAGACTAAAACACACATTTTTTCCAAATACATATATTGATTGTCTAAAACACTAAATGTTTAATTTGGAAACTACAGTCCCAACTGTTGAGTATGCCCCTTTTGTTTTTACAAAATGTGTTCAAATTTACTATTTCAAGATGGTAAACCCCTTCAGGGCTCGAAACAAATTCTCATACTCGGTATGACAATGAAAAAAACTGTTCGATTTTCAATAAATCTGATGCACAAGTCATAAGAAAATTGGAGAAGATTCAATGAACTGCTAGATATTCTTTACTAAAGAATCGGCAATAATCTTATATTAGATTTGCGCATGCGTGATTACTTTTTGGTGAGCCACACGCGATTTTCAATTCTTGTTTTAAAGTCATATCCAAAAAATCTTCGACGTTTTTGTTCTAAAATGCATAGAGTATGTCTGCCAAATTGCAAGAAATTCTCATAATTTGTGTGATTGACCAAGAATTGTAACTGATATTTTCTACGTATTTTAAAAACTAATTCTACTCTGTTACTTCCATGTTTAAAACACCCATGACTAAGTATTGTCAAGATCAAAAGGTTGGGAACTTTTTTGTAAAATCAGAAAGGGCATTAGGGTCAAGTGGTGTAAAAATGAGACGTTTAACGTAACTTTTGATTTTTCGAGTGGTTCTTGTTTCTCTAAATTTTCAGAAAAATGGCCATTTCATATAGAATTTGATGAGGAATAACATTTAATTAATACTTTAATACTATAATTTTTACCCATAATTTTGGTTGTCTCATTTTTACACCACTTCACCCTACTCAAAAATTTAAAAAAACCCAAACTTTTAGAGGCGCAGCTCCAAAATGAAACATTTTGAGATCTCAGTTTATTTGGAAAAACGGTTGTTTATTTAAATGGCATTCTTAATAGTTGCACCCTGTATAATTAACACAAGGAAAAATCTCAAAATCAAATGGCCTTGTGAACAGAGCTGATTTTTTTACCAAGACCATCCTGGAGTCTTACAATAGTCAATAGGCCAGTCAAAATCGACAAAAAAATCGCCAAATTCGCAAAACATGATGCATCTCTGATTTTTAACGCATTTTTAAGAATTAAAAAAAATGTGCTATTGTTTGAGGTTTGTCCGTCCGTCCGGACCATTGAGTTAGAAAACTAATGGAGGGAATATAATGGTAGAGGGGGTAAGAATTTTTGTAGACGGAACTTGCCACAGATAGAGGCCACTCGCGTGGATAGGTTCCCGTGAAGGTACATTTTGGCCGACATTATTTGACATATGAAAACGCGGGTCCTATCACTGTCAGTTTTCCACCAAATTCAAATTTTATTAAATTTGCCATTTTAAAGTACCTAATAATTTCTGATCGGTTTATGCTCTGGTTTATATAAATAACTAATTGCCGCATAGTGTTTTTATCACACGCAATTTTGTGAATTGAGAATGATTAGCTGCGTATCATGCAAAATGTCTCATAAAGGGAAGAAACAGGGCATTTCCTTTCATCGGTAAGACATGCCATTTATCATGTTGTAGGCGAGGTTGTAGGTACCTAGTTAATGTTTCTTAGTTTTCTAAACGAACCAGTACTTCGAGCAAAATGGTTACCTAACATTTGTAAATATATCTCAAGAACAGCTCTCGAAATTTGCTTTTGTGCTCACAACGCTTCATTGACTGTGATTTCGACCAAAGGTTGCACTGGAAAATGTTCATCAAATATGCAGACTGCAGTAGGTACTATCAAAACTTGTTTTTACAGCTAAACGTGTGAGTTTATAATATGGATATCAGGTGTAAGTTTTTTACGAGTGCGGATACATTTTGAGGCCAATAAACAATAAATCATTATTGAATCTGTCGGCCGTTGTAATGAACCTGAGACCAACCAGTCAATTGTAGCTATTGATCAACACAGTGAATTTAATGGGAGTTGTCAAGTTGTAGTGGCTATATAGTAAACTGGCCTTAATTATACTACTGAAACACATCGATGTATATATAGATTTGTAATCCATGATTATATTAAATCTGCATTCCCATCTTTGTCTATTTTGTTTACTTTACCACGAGCATGTATTTTACTCCTTCTATACGTTTTTTTTGTTATTATTCCTATTAGTGGAAAGAAAATTATATCTCTACGCCACTGAAGTGAGACGCTAATGATAACGGAAGTGGTGTGGTACTTTAATCACAGCTAGAGGCCACTTTTGGTTCCCGTGGTCTACGTCTGGCCAAGCATTTGATTCCCTCCATTAGTTTTCTAACTCAATGGTCCGGACCCACGTCTACCGTTTTGAACTACTTCTATTTATTATTTATTTACGTTTATTGATCTCATACACGAAAACAAAAAAAAGAGATACGTCGATTAAAATAGAAGGAATGGTCCTAAAGTCCCGGAAAGGGCGATTGGGACGTTTGGAAGAAATGGGCATTTAAATAAAATTTGATACATAGGCACTTGGAATAAAGGAAAATCAAATGCCAGTTTCAAAATTTCGTTTTGCGCATGCGCAGTGCCAACATCCTTATTTATTTATTTATTTATTTATTTATTATCCCTCTCTTATTCGGGCCCTCAACAGGCTTGCGCCCAATTACAGAGTGACCCGCATAATGCTTTTAGAGGTGCCTCTGCAGAAGGTCTTAAGTTGTTCTATACTACTCCGGTATTTACATTACGAATTAGGAAAACTGCAGGAAAACCTAATTCGGAGTAGCTGGCAGAATGCTCGAAACTGGTCTAAGGTAATTCCCATCTCTGCCACAGATGAAAAATTCACCTCAACCCAGGTTCGAACACCTGACCTTCGGATTTATAACTCAACGCTTTACCATTTATTTATAGAGGCATTTAAAAAAAATTTGATATATGGCCACTTGAAATAAAAGCAAATGTAGCGCCATTTTCCAAATTTGGTTTTGTGCATGCGCAGTGCCAACATTCTTATTTATGGAGACATTCAAATGAAATTTGATACACAGCCACTTGGATTAAAAGCAAATGTGGAGCCATTTTCCAAATTTGGTTTTGTGTAGGATGTGCAGAGCCAACTTTCTTATTTATGGAAGAAATTTCGTAGGGGTGTTTAAAAAAAATGCGCTTTACCTGCACAAGAGTTGTGCACAATTTGTACTTGTTAGTATGTTGTTTGGACCCACTATGGTTGTGTATACCCAAGTTTTTATCTCTGTAAACATTGTGGAAAAAGCGTAACACAAAACATGCAACAAATTCATAGATTTAGGCAGAAATTCAAGTTGAATAAATTGTAGGTAGGTACCAATGTTATTAGTCAACGAGCTAATGTGTGCAGAAATGGTAGTAGAGTGGCACGTGACCTTGACGATCGTAGCGATTCTTTATTGTGTGTAGTCCCCTTGGGCCGGCAGGTGTTCTTTGTTTTCTCCCTCTCTCTTTCTCCCCATTCCATTTGCATCCTTCCGAGCTCACAGTATTTGTTCCTTTGTTGTGAGTAACTGTTACTTCAATCTGTAGGCTTGAGTTCAACCTGAATATTCAGACGCATTTTTCGTTGAACTCATAATAAATGTTTTTTATAAAAAATTTTATCCATCTTCTTATCATATGACGGTAATTATAAAATCAGTTCAATGTTACATTATATATACATTTACAAATATTTTTAGCTACGCCTGATGATGGCCTAAAGGCCGAAATCGATTGCGATAAACAGAAAATAAAGTGTTGAATTTCACCCAACGTGCTGGTCTTTTATTTCTTTGTGATTGTGTTGTGAAAAAATTCCAACATTGTCAATGCCACCAGGCTAGTGTTTTATCGGTGCCCACTTTAGGACGAATCAGTGGTAGTTGTTAAAAAACATGGTATCCAGTCACTAGTCATTGAGAAACATGGTCTTAAGGAAAATGCTCAGTTTTTGGGGAACCATCAAAGCTTCTGTTCGCCATGGAGGAGATGAGATTCCTACTCCCCAACCATCAAACTGGAGATCATCAGTAGGTTCAATGAATCTGCAAAACATTTGTTTCTTTTGTGGGGGAAGAAATTACCGAGAAGTTTCTCAGCTTCAAAAATGACTTCTTACATCACGCAGAAATAAGGTTGACACAGTCATTTTACATAAGAGGGACGATTCTCGAGTGTTTAAGACGCCCTGGTGACAAGTGGAATAGATAATCAACCTCCTTGCATCTACGACAGACCTCATCAGTGTTGATGCCAGGTATCATCAATCATTCTACAGCTATTTATGCACAACAAGGAAAGATGAGTGAAGTACTACTCACCATTTTTGCGGAAGGAGATTATTTTGAGACTCTTTAGAATCAATTTTATACTGCCATAAAAGAGAAGACATTAATGGACCATTACGCAGTTTGATCACAGTTTCCATAAACATTGCAAGAAGAATTCTAAGATTGCTTATCGGAATACTCTTTGAGTATTGTAAACAAACACATGGATTATATAGGCTGGCTGAAATAGTGGAATTTACATTCGCATGGTATCGTAACAGAGATATTGCAATGACGCAAGTGTAGTAAATTCAACAAGTTAAAAAGTAATCGTAAACGATTTACATAAAGCGCATTCATTTCCCATTTGTAAGATGCAACTTCTGTTAGAATCGTAAAAATCCGTCCACAAATATGAAAGATAACGTTGCACATGAGCAATCCATTTTTGACATGCTATTTCAATTTTAGTGTATAAGAAGTATTTCATTTCAATGCTTTTCTAAATAAGAAAGTTGGAACTGCGCATGCGCAAACCTAAATAGGGAAACTAATGTTACATTTTCCTTTGTTCCAAGCGCCAAAGTATAAAATTTCATTTAAATGCTTCCATAAATAAAAAAGTTGACACTGCGCATGCGCAAAACCAAATTTTGAAACTGGCGTTAGATTTTCCTTTATTCCAAGTGCCTATGTATCAAATTTCATTTAAATTCTTCCATAAATAAAAAAAATGGCACTGTGCATGCGCAAAACCAAATTTTGAAACTGGCATTTGATTTTCCTTTATTCCAAGCGCCTATGTATCAAATTTCATTTCAATTCTTCCATAAATAAAAAAGTTGGCACTGCGCATGCGCAAAACCAAATTTTGAAACTGGCGTTAGATTTTCCTTTATTCCAAATGCCTATGTATCAAATTTCGTTTAAATTCTTCCATAAATAAAAAAGTTGGCACTGCGCATGCGCAAAACCAAATTTTGAAATTGGCGTTTGATTTTCCTTTATTCTAAGTGCCTATGTATCAAATTTCGTTTAAATTCTTCCATAAATAAAAAAGTTGGCACTGCGCATGCGCAAAACCAAATTTTGAAATTGGCGTTTGATTTTCCTTTATTCCAAGTGCCTATATATCAAATTTCATTCAAATACTTTTATAAGTAAAAAAGTTTGCAATTCGGTTTATAAATGGTCGAGATGCGAAAAGGGCACTGTGAATTTTGAATCGATTCGACTCAACTTTTGGCATTGCGTATTATATGGCTAAGGCTATGCCCATATTGAATTTCATGCAATTCAGTTCATAATTAACGGAGATGTAAAAGCGATCGGACATTTCTAAACAAAATTATCGTTCACACGGACAGACAGGCACAGGAACAGACGGACAGACCAACAGACAGACAACAATACAAAATTATAAATGATCTCTAGGATGGTTAATGAACGGCAAAAGTGTAAAATTATGGAACATGTAAAAAACGGTTTGTTGGTTTTTTTACAATAACTTTTTTAGCAATAAACGCAGAAAAAATTCCTTCCTTGGTACAAAACTCGACACCATAACGAACCAAATAGCGAAAAAAGTAGAACAATAGCTCTTAAGATAAAGAACTAGTAGCGTTGCAAAAGTAGCGGACGGACAAAGTGGCCACAATAGCGCATTTTTTTTTTTTTTTGTGGAAATGCGCTAAAAATAGTGAAGTGCAAAATTGCAAATGTAAGCAGGAGAAACCTGCACAGGAGTACAAATGTGAAGTCTTCTCAAGATATCACACCTAAACAATTCCTTAACACTTACCCTGGTTTACTTGCGAGCTTATAAAGTATATTGGCGGCGTCAGCATGGTTATCATTACCCTCGTAGTATTTCCATAATAACTCCAAGGCGGGCAAATTATTGTCGTTCCTTTCTGCTTCTTTTATAAGATACTTTTCCAATGAAGGCTGAGTAATTCTTATTAAATTACTATCCATCTTCTTTGCCATCATCCATTCATAAACTGCGACATGAAGTAATTCGTCTGGCCGCTGTAAACAATCCTGAACTAATTGTTGCAATATATCAATGTGATCTTGCTGCAACAAGTAGCTTTGGACTTCTTTTGAAGCCGTGCTAATACTCGCAGGAAGTAAAGATGCAGGTCCTGCACACAAATGATCAAATACCGCCATTATTTCTTTGTATATATTCATTCTACAACAAAAGAACAATTAGCGAGAGAATTAACTGTGATATGAAAGAGTACCTTTTTAGAAAGTAGTTGTAACTGTCCTGATTGACTGCGTCGTTACTATTCTTGTAATAAAAGTCTGCCATATTATCGGGATCTACCTTTTTAGCGCAATCAACGCATAAATCTATGATTGCGTGGTAAGCAGTAAGGCTTATTAACAATTGGCATATTTCGTACAGATTTAAGTTTGGTGAAACAGATTTACAAAGGCGTAAAGCAGATATTATAAGATCTTCTTTTTCGCTTACACTTGGAGTGGTCTTGGCGATTTTCAGTAGCTCATAAGCCTAGAACATTTATGCAATAGGTGGTAAGCAGTCCAGCAACTACTTACTTTAGAACAAGCCGCGTCTTCGTCCTTATATAAATCTGGACACGTTTCGCGTAATTTTGCACTAATCGTGTCAATAAGTGCATTGTCACTGAGATAACTAGTGATTAGACTGTTAATGAAGTTCACACAAATATCGTGACCATATAACACCAAGTTTTTAAAGGAAGTCTGGAGTAAATCTTGCTGTTGATCTGGTGAGAGTGTTAAAGCTAGCAGATGGAATTGATGTTCGCAGAGTATCTTCCAAAGTCCAAATACTTGACAACAGTGAGCGACAAAATTTTTAAAAGAAGCCAACGATTGTCTTTCCTCCAGTTGGGCATCTTGCAAGGTTTGGTTGATGCTGGTAGGATTGACTTGTTGATGTGATAAGTTGAGCGATGTGACATTTGTTTGGTTGATAACTGTATTGGCAGTTATAGTTAGGTGCGTATTTTTGCGAAGAAACATCCAAAGCGAATTTAAATGGCTTAATATCAACACGCAGTCTTCCGAATTTATAGTACTTTTAAGCTACAATATTAACTGTTACTTCAAATCGATAAACTGGAGGATACATACGAGAACTTGTTCTTTTTGACTAATTCCCAGTTTGTCAACACAATGAAGATTCCATATGGGACGTAGTATACGCCCTAGGTATAAGTATAATCCGTTATGTTTTGAGGAGTAAACAAATGGTGCAATTCCTCTGAAGGAGTTATTGGGTGGATCTGGACGAATGCTAGTCATTGAGGGCTGCTGCGGTGATTGATGTGGGTGTATTGGTGTAGACATAATATTTGGGAAGAACGAAGTTTGGTGAGGTGCTGAAAAATAAAAATATATGACATTGTTTCTACCAAAAGGTAAAAAAGGATACATGTGACCAACATTGTACCTATTAAAGTAAAATTTTTTGTTGGAAAACGTGTGTAGTGTTACGTGGCACTTGCTTCAATGTAGAGAGAGAGAGAGAGAGAGAGAGAGAGAGAGAGAGAGAGAGAGAGAGAGAGAGAGATATGACAACTGAAAGCATGGGAAAGACTTGAGCCATATAGGTACCAATTCAATAAAACATTAGCTACTTACTCTTTTAAATCTCATTGTACAGTGCAGTACAGTATGGTACAAAATGACCTGCATAACATCAACCTACAAAGAGTGTTGCTACTAGCGTGTCATGTTATCACATGTTTTGGCTTTAAAAATGTATTTGTATTTATAACCCCAGATTTACCATTTATGAAATATGAGAAGTTCACAAACATTGTAAAAACTTACATGAGGTAGTTTGCATAAAAGCAGGAACTGTTGCTATTTTTGGTTCTCCCCCATACAAGAAAAACGCTCTAGTAGCCCATTCCGATACCTCCATATTCTGCATACTTTCCAGGCAAGCTAAGATTAAACTGGTTGCACACGCTTGATCTTCTTTTTCTATGGCAAAAAATGCCTTAACTGCATCATTTTCTGGACCTTGGCAATCGGTCAACAGTTGACGCAGCAAATCGACAGGTCTTAACTTCAGAAATATATAAACGCCTGTTGCAGTTAGGATGACATATTTCCGTGGTGGTTCTGCATGTTGACGTACCACTGTTTGTGGAGCTTGAACGCATGCTTGTGAGGGGTATACAACAGGGCTTTGAATCTAAAATGAGTAGCTAAGTCAATTGTCACCACAGCTATGGTTACCTCGGCCATTGCCCATGCAGGTCCGTCCAATGGAACTGTTGTGTAGGCTTCCATGAACATTGTACTAAACGGAAACATGTCAGAACTTACGCACCAAACAATATCTTTATCGTTGACAGTAGATAGAAGCATTAAAGTGTTATCCCGATAAAGTGAGTGATGTGCCATTCTGGGTCTAGACGTCATAGTAGCTGAATATCCAGGAGGAAGTCGAATATGTCTCAAAGTAAGAGTGTATGGCCTTTGATTGGGTTGCATATTTGAAAACCCAACAACACTAAGGTAAAATCTTACTCCAGATTGAGAAACAGCTACCAAATTAATAAAAGCTGATTCTGTTGCCTCAACTGCCGATATGCTTACAACGGGATGAAAGTTTTGACTATCCAAAGTTCTGGAAATATACACTTGTGGTACTGACTGTGTGCAATTATAGTGGTTCTTACTTTACTATACTCACAGCTTGATGTACCAACGACGCTTGTGTTACTTTACACACTTTATTAAATGAATCTCCTTTCTCTCCCAAATTGTACACCCTAATTGCCCCTTTCTCAGTTAAGCAATACAAAATATGTCTTGTGTTATCGATGCTAATTTGTGCAATTCCATCTTCCTCACTGAGAGCAGTATTTAGGAAAGGAGGAATTAACAGGGATAATGTGGTAGTTGAATGATTTAGCTTTTTGCACCGTTTTCCAAACCAACTAGTTTCCGCCTAAAATGAATTTTGACCCAAATTAACAATTTGGCAGGTCGTTCTCACCTGATACGATATTTCAAACACGCTTCCATCTTTACTACCAAAAAATATTCTCCCCAACGTCGTGCCGGCTATTGTTGTTATAGTAGACCCATCAGTTGGTACAGAAAAAACAGGTTCGGGTACTAAATGAATTTCCTCCAATTCGTCATTCGGACCGGGATGAAATGTGACGCCAAGTACTACTATGTCTGATGTGGTGGCCAAAACCAGAAGGTACTTGATGAAGTTGTGAAACACCCCAGCTTTTGGTGTGATTAATCCCACAGATAGAATACTCTCGTTTAAGCCATCGTAGTACGCTACATCACCTTCATTCTCGTAGGTCCAAATGTAAATGTCACTATCTACAGTAACCCAGGCGCGATTAATTTCTGTAAATAGACCCATCATACTATGGCACTGCATGTCTTGGTATCAATTAAGGATTCTAAACTATATTATTTCTATGACACCTATTGTTGTGTAAAGTACATCATTTAGATGTTATTTCGGCCTATTAAATACCAAAAGAATGACGGGACAACCCGTATGTGGTATAATTTCAATTTATTAAGTAAATCTGGCCATCTGGGGGACTATTTACCAAATGAAAACAAAATTAGTTCGTTTCATTTGACTTTGTATTTCATTGTTTATTTTTCCTTTTAGAATTGTTTGAAATTATGGAGTTTTCTTTTTAATTTTATCGTTTTTGTAAATTATTCAAGTTAAATAAGATGCTAGGAGTAGACATATCTGGTCGCATTTGTGTTATTTAAAAAAAGGTTACATTTGGTCGTTGCGATAAGAAGTTTTATTGTTAGGCGGACTTTAATTCACGCACGTGTTCTTTCGCTGATAAGAGGAGATGCAGGTGTTTCGAAAAATGGCGCATTTCATGTGAAGAAGTGGGGAAGTTTTGGCGTGTTCCGGTGTGATTGGCGATTTATTTGAAAATTTTTGAAGTTTGTTTTATGGTGGAAGTAGTGTTTCTTTAAATACTGGAGACAACGAGAAGACGAAGCTGCTGGTTTCGGGACGGTTAAGAAGCGGTTACATCTTTGTACGCGAAATTTTTGGCCCTATTTGTTTAGTTGGCGCAATTCGTATATAATAAATTTGTGCAGAAGCAAGTTAAAGATGTGTCAGAAGTTTAACGCGTGTAAAAAGTTTCAAGTTGAAAAAGTAAGCAGCGAAGCTTTTTGTTAGGGTTCTCTAATTAAAAGTTAAGTTTTTACTGTCCGAATAGCCTCCGAAAATGTATCATCATATTCATGAAGCCAGTTTTGTTTGTAATCAAATTCTGTCTTATAAGGCAAAGTAAAGTTCAGAAGCATTTGTGTGTGAGTTAAGTGCGCCTAGTATCGCAAACCTTTTACGACCTTATTAAGAAAAAAAATGTAAATAATTTAATTTTTTCATTGTCGACAGCCTGTGTGCGGGATAATATGTCCGAACAGACTTTATAAGCTTTTTTTTCTTTCAGGGATTTTTTAAATTCTTTCACGTGTTTCGGAATATATTTTTGTCATTGTCAATCAATTAATTGTGTGTTTATGCGAATCGACAGTGTGACCCAGATGGGGTTTTCATGTCAGATTTTTCTAATGGTGCCCAAGATCTATTTTGGGTGATGATCAAAATTTGTGTAATAAATTTTTCTTTCATAATACCTCACGCTAAATAGTGCTTTCCCGTACTATGCAGAAGTACGCCACTGACCACAAACTTAAAGTAAGTAGATTGGTACCAAACTTTTTATGATTTTGGAATACAAAGCAAATTGTGTAGTTCTGTATATTGAATCCAAGTCTGTAAAAAATAAAACATCGAATTTTTCAGATAATAACAAAAGTGTAACGTTTTTATATGAAACACCCTGTGTTATTACACCATATGACAGCTTATTAAATTTTCGACAAATGTTCTAATGCATCACACCCAAAATACTTAAAATAACCAAGATCTTTCAATTAATTTCCATCTAGTTATCAATGGAAAAAATAAAAATACATAATAAAGGGCGACCAAAAAAGGATTGACGTCGAGTCGTGTTTGGAAGTTCAAGCTAAATATGATTTCTCATGTAAATAAACATTCCAAAGGTGACTCAACAGCAACTCTTTTTTTATCGCATAGTACAATAACTGGAACTATATATACTAGGTTGTTAACACAAGAATAACAGGTGAAATAAGTAATACGTATGAAAATAACTTAAAAGTTACAATAGATACCTTTTCTCCCTAGACTGCAGAGCAAATTCTAAAAACTGCCAACCAAATGTACATGTAGTTCCGCTAATGAAACACTTTTTGCAATGACTTTTATGAGTAATGGATGATCACAAGCACTACAAGTGCCTTTCTGAGCTCCGACATACAAACAGCCAGAATTCATGCATTTTTTTTGCTTAGTTAGATGTCTATATGCTTTTAAATTCTATGGAAGACCACTGAATCTACACATCTCCTAGCATAGGCACGTTTCACTCAATTTACTTTGAACTAGTAAAAAAAAATGGAGGTCTTTTTTTAGTTACAACTTACAGCAACTCCAATACATTTAATAAATAAGTCTCTAGATTCAAAGCACCTCACAAACTCAAGTATTTATTAAATTTGCTTTTCGTGTTAAAGCGATAGTCTGAAAAAATCTAAGTACGGGCTAATGAATAAATTCCCATGTCAAATCACTAAGGTGAACACCGCTATAAATTTAAAAGGATACGGTTCATTTGTTCCAGAATTTCTGCCGGTAAAGACACTCTACTAAAAACCTTAAGTTGGGGAACATTAGCTAAAGCTGGTGGGAATCTGCTAAGATTGGGATAGTCATTATCCGAAGTGCCACTGGAGGTAGGTCCCGCTTGAGGCGAGATATTCATAACTTCAAATAGAGTCGGTCCTGAATTATCGCTCGTAATCGATTTATCCACATTTCGTGCTGCTATTTCGTACGATTGTAAGGTAATTCTGGCGTTATTATCGACTGTGTAATCCATTTTTTGTTATATTGTCTGCTAAAAATGAAATTGCCGCTTTGAATTCTAACCTATCAGGAGCTTTGCGCTTATAATGTTGTATATTTATTAGTAGCATTCTGGTATTATACTTACGAGATCGAATTAAATACACTTTATAAATTAAAAATCATTCAATTAACGCGTTTTAAAAATTACAGTTAACGTAAATCACCCACAACACCTCACTTTGGTTTTAAAACAACCTAACCACAAACCAAACCAACGTTGCCAATTCAATTTAAATTTTGAAGTTCCAGATTAACATACAAGATGCGTCAAAATATAAAGTACTAAAACAGAGTGTTGTAAAATTAAGTTCTTTGTCTAAATCGCGTACCACACAACACACAACCCTTAATTAAACCCCCGCCTCAAATGGGGATACACAAAGTAAGATACAATTCCATCGTATGATGGATGCAGATTATTAAAAAAAATTGTGCATGCGCAACCCAACTTTTGTATTTGCGCAATGCCGATTTTGTTTATTTGTTAAGATATTTAAATGAAATTTTGTATGTAGACACCTTGTGAAAATGATGTATGTGTGAAGATCTCGAGGATCGTTCGGTATTCAGTTGTATCGGATTTTATATATCTATGTAAAACTGAAAAGTATATTATATTAATCTATGAAACATTAAAATTATCAGTAAATTATTTTATTACACCTATTATAAAATTAATAAAAGACTGTGTTTCCTCTGCAGATGTCAGTTTTACGGGGAATTGTCAATGTCTTCTTCATCTGAAACCAGCTCTCTAGCCGTATTTTCGCAGTTTCCAATTTGACATTTTCCACGAGGTCTGGTGCATTCGAGTCCAAGTTTTTTACAGCCGCACCGCATTGTGTTGTATCGTCCAGAGCAGTTGCACATAACCTAACCTAAATAAAGAAGGTTTTCTGGTTCTGGACACAAAATGTCCATCATCTCTGGTTTTAAAAACTATCCCCAATTATTTGGACCCATGTCATTATTCTTGCCCAACCACTGCATCACCGAGAATGAAACTTTGCAGCTGATGGTGATGGCGTTGGAGAAAATCCTTCGGGTTTCACAACTGTATCTTCATTTGACTTTTCGGCATAGGATGGCAGGACATAATGACAATAAAAACTCAGTTTGTCTTCCGTGAAACCATTGGTTGGCATCTTGATGTCGTTTCCACAATATTTGGGTGTGCGTTTGGAGTGCAAAATACTCTGAAACAACTTTGTAAGACGGGATCGCATCTGATGACATTTCTGAACACAGACTTCTTACCAAATCCAAATGCCGCTGATCTAGTGCCACAACCAGAAAATGCGTAGGCAAACAACAAATCGTAGCATACATTGTCACCTAACGTATGGGACATTTGAGAAAAAGTTATATCTGAAATTTACATCCGATTTTGATGTATAATCTGTTTATCATCAAGCACGTACAGAACTGGTAGATTTTTGTCATCAAGAAATGTCAAATTGTTTCAATAATTAAATTCAAAATGTCGTGTAAACTTGAAATTCGCAAGAATATTTATCATCAAGCAGGTACACAATTTATTACTGTAAAGCTTGGTTGGACAGTTACCCAGAAGGAAATTGTGAACTTGTTCAGGGATCAAAATGTTAGCAACAGACAACCGGTGATAGGGAAATAAGAGAATGTAAAGATTAATTCGTAGAAAATAATGGATTTTACATAGATACCTACCGTAGGTATATGAAATAGGTAGATGGTTTACATGAATTTGGGGAATTTCGTCATTCCACCCAAGCGAAGGATCCTATACCGAATTCACAGCAGTATAGTTGGTTGCCTACCTCACAGGATTCAGTTGGTGTATTAGAGCTGCATTATGGTCGTTCAACAATAAGGCCTCGCGGTATTTATTAGCGCTTTTGTACAAATTTGAAATCAAGATAATTGGCCAAAGCAAGAGTAAGAGATTTGACGCACCTCAACTTTTGAAATCTGTTAAAAATATAGTCAGCGACGTTTCTGTATTTCGAAGTATATTTGCTACGTGTATTGACAATTATTAACAAGCTCCTAGCGAGTTAATAATTTTGTGGTGTCTGTCCGTCTGTCCGTCCGTTAGGACGATATCTCGATAACGAATGAACCGATTACGATAAAACTTTGTAGATGGATCCTTTATCAAATTTGTAGATCGAAGTTCCTGAATTGGCGATGTAGCCCAAAAAATAAGGATGGCCCTTTTAACATCTCCGTGAGTTATGAACCGAATTGCATGAAATTCAATATTCGTATAGCTTTAGCCATATAAAACGCAATTCCAAAAATTGAGTCTAATCGATCAACATTCACAGTGCCCTTTTCGCATCTCGACCATTTATAAACCGAATTGCAAAGTTTTTTTATTTATGAAGGTATTTAAATGAAATGTGATACATAGCCACTTGGAATAAAAGCAAATACCGGGTGATTCATTAGAAGTGAGGACAATTATTTGAATTTCCCGCAAATAAAAAAATTATGAAGTTGGTACTAACTGATGATCTTTTATTTAATTGCAGTGGTGTATCATCATGCTTTCAGTAAATCGTTTACTTATTTATAATCTACAAATACTGCTTCTGTTTTACCACAAATTATAAACTAACACTAGACACAGTCACGTTTCTTACATATTTTAGTGCATCAACTCTCAAACTTGTTCAAAATGGAAAAAGCAATAAACCGTAAATGGCACACAACAATTAACGGTGACACTGGTTTCATAAATGACAGTCATGACAGAAAAAAATTCCTAACGAAATTCAAACCGTCAATCTAATAATGCAAAAAATACTAAAACCTTACGCGCTAAATTTAAGCGATCATCAGTTCTAATGAATCACCCGGTATAACGCTAGTTTCAAAATTTGGTTTTGCGCATGCGCAGTGCCAACTTTCTTATTTATGGAAGCAATTAAATGAAATTTCATAAATACAGGGTGATTCCTATAGTACCTGCCACCGTTTGGGAGCGTGTAGGTGGTGCGTAGGGGAGTATTTTGATATAGGACACTTGGGGTCGGAAATCTAAAATAAGGGTGCCAGAGCCAAATTTACCTTCTGGAATTTCGCGCCTGTAGGTAGGCAACCCAACCGGCCGGCGGTGCACACGGAGCGATCTCAGGCGGCGATGTGTGGCTGACACTTGATCAGAATTTTGTTTAAACCCACGAAATCCCGTCTGCAACGACGCGTATCAAGTGAATAAACACTATGGCAATAGTATAATAATAGTTGGCTAGATGTAGGAAGTGCATTGAGAACAACGGTGGCCACGTTGAACACTTGTAAACGTTATTGCTTTTGACTGTCGTTTTCCCTCCTTCCCTCCCATGTCGCTTCCTCGCGCTAACTCGCTCTGCATCGCTCCGCGCGAAACGTCGGTCGGTTGGGTTGCCTACATACAGGCGTGAAATTCCAGAAGATAAATTTGGTTCTGGCGCCCTTATTTTAGATTTCCGACCCCAAGTGTCCTATATCAAAATACTCCCCTAGGCACCCCCTATACGCTCCCAAACGGTGGCAGGTACTATAGGAATCACCCTGTATACACTTTAAATAAAAGCAAAACCTAATATCAGGTTTAAAATTTGGTTTTGCACATGCTATAGCCATACCCAGGAGCTCGTTTTCTATATTTGTTTAGTTTATTACTTTTCCGTTTTCAAGTGAAGTTGTAGCTAGCTAAGACTGAATCCATGAACAACTATGGTTGTGACCGACTCAACACCTTTGTAGTTTACTATCGATAAGAACATTTTTACCCTCGTTTACTTTCGTGGGAATGAGTCAACCCACAGGTATTGTTTGAACAATGCCATAAGTTTGTTGTCAGATGTAATGGTTGATTGTAAATAGTAAAAGTTGTTTATGTGTATTGTCATATGTGGACCATTTGTCATTTGTGTTTATTATTGTAAATATATCCATTTTTGTTTCTTGATTGATATAGTTTTGTAAAACGCAAGTTCAGTGATGTGATTGCGGGAGTCAGCAACGCTTTATGTAGATAAAGGCATCCTCACAATAAGATTAACATTGATTCCTCCTCCTCGGATTCCTCTAATTGAAATATTCCAAATATGGCTAGCCGGCGCTCAAATATAGAAACCTAACATTAAATATATACAGTGCATGTACACAATTTTACCACAATTTTCAGAGACAAGAATATACAATGTAAGTCACTGACAGAACCAACGGGTACAACAAGGTGGAAGAGTTTGGTGGGAGTTCAAAATAAACAATAGAAACCATCCCAGGGAGCGTGTTTATTTCTTTTGCTAGTAGCTGCCAACCCCTTACCCCGTACACCCGCGCCAGTGTTGCTGTCTCGCTGTCAGAACTTGTATAATACCATTGATTATATACTTACGTTCGTATATGATGATGATGATACTACTTATAAAATATCCTTTCAGCCAAGCCAAGAATTGACTGGCCAGTGAGAGTGGCGCCAGCTATTGGATACGTGAAAACGACCTGGGTCCAGTATGCCTTGCCAGTGAAACTCGCGCCATTACTGGATACTGTATAGGTCTAAACGCCTTTATATCCATTAAACAAAATTGTTGCTTTACCATAGTGATGTAAAGTGAAGTTTGAGTATACATTAGCTATTGAAGTGTAAGTACTTCCTTCTTTCCATTTTAAGCGATGTAATAATGATCTCCCAGCAAGTACGTCGTGGTTTAGAGTAATAAATTATTTAGGTACTCTATATGGTAGTGGCTACAGTCTTTGGAATGTATTAAAGTACAGTCAATTCAGATGATTTAAAGGAATCTCTTAGGTCTTCTAGAAGTTGAGCTTTATTAGACTACCGCATTTAATTTTTCTTCGAAGAAAGACACTGGGTAAAAGTGGTAGTTCATACCTCATAATACCATCGAGATTTAACTCTACTGATTTTGATACATTAGGAACCTTTGGAATAACAGAGATGGGTAAAAAAATTTGATTCCTCTGTGATATAGATTTTAAAACCTATGTGAGTATTCCTAATTGTTATTTATTAACAGACATGAGTGTGTTAAAATAATAAATCTTTTTGTATTATGAGAACTAGGCGTTGTTGAATTATACCGAAATTACAGTTATACCATTAGGACAATATTCGAACAACTTCTGATGGTTTTCCAACTTTTAATAGTTACACCATTGAATTTATAGTTATAAATTCAACGGTTACACTGCACAGCTAATACTACAAAATAAAA